GAGGGAGATTGAGGCTAGAAGGAAGAAGTTTTGGATGCTGAGGGTGGTGAGAGCCTGGCCCAGGTTGCCCCAAGAGGTGGTCGCTGCCCCATCCCTGGGACCATTCCAGGTGAGGTTGAACTTGAGCCACCTGCTCTAGGTTTGAAGGTCCCTTCCCACCCAAACCAGGCTGCGATAAGCCATGAACAGCAGCTGGCAGCACGGGAGGTGGGGAGAAGGGTCCGTGGGGTTCCAGACGGGTCTTTGCTCCGAGCCAGACCTGCGGGGTGGTCGGCAGAAGCTGCTTGGGAACCCATCCCTCCTCCCCTGAGCCCCGTCTGGTGGGCAGTGAGGAATCTGGTGCTTTGTTGCTCCAAAGCATCTCCTTGAAACCCTCCAAGATGTTGAGGTGGTGACGGGGAGCAGCATTCCTCCCCCAGGGCCTTCCCCAGGCCTGGAACTGTCACCCAGGGTGGTACCTGCATGGGTGTGACGTGTTCCAACGCAGTCTCTGGTTCTTTGGGTCCTTTGGTGGTTTAGGGACACAACAGGTGGTTTTACAGATTATTTTTGCCGCTGCCTAGAGAGTTCTGTTGAGAATCGTGGAATTGTTTGGGTTGGAAGAGACCTTGGAGCTTCTCAAGTCCAACCATCCCCCCAACACCACCAGGTGCCCCCAACCCCTGTCCCTCACCCCACATCTCCACGGCTTGGGAACCCCTCCAGGGGTGGCGGCTCCACACTGACCCCCGCCAGGGGTGGGGGCCTCCCCACTGCCCTGGCACAGCCCTGGGCAACCCTCCAGGGGCAGAAGTTGTTCCAGACTCCACTCGCGTTGCCTTGCAGCGATCTCGGAGGTGAACGGGATGCTGGGGAAGAACATGGCCAAGTTCTGCTCTGGGGACTACACCCCAGGGGTGGTTCCTGCAGAGACCAGACACCTCGACCCTCTCCTGAGCGCCGCCTCGACGTCGCCCCCGCCGCAGGTCCCCGGCAAAGGCCTGGATGGTAAATTCTTCCAACCCTTTCCTCTCTTCAGCCTTGGCGTGACCAGGAGCTGGACTAGGGGTCAGCAAACTGAGCTGGGGGGATTCAGTCGGCCGGGTCTGGGCTCCAAAATGGAACAAAGGAGAAAAAAAGGGGGGGGAACCCAGCTCCTGGTGTTGTGGTACTCTGGGTGAACTTTCTCCTCGTCTGGGAGTTGTTCCTACGAATTTTCTCCTCCTGTTCAGGTGGCACCTCCTGGGTTCCAGTTGGTGCCCGTTGCCCCTTGT